GGGCGCAGCCACAGGGCTGGGCGCTCTGAGTGGGGGTCAGCCTGAGGGCCAGCTGAGCCCGGAGAGCTGGGGAGGGTGAGGAGTGAGGGGACTCCCGTCGGCTTCAGCCCCTGCGGCCGGGGAGAGCGAGGCCCTGGCGTGGGGCAGGCCCGGCCCCGCTGCTGTGTCCCCTCCGCTCCTGTGGCTCCGGCCCCCCTGTGCCCGGCTCCCGCCACGGGCCCGCCTGCTGTTCCGTGGCTGTCGCTGCGCAGGAGACACAGGCGCCGGTGGGAACCTCCTGAACGTGCTCTGCAGCCCCGTCCTGCTCACCAGGCAGCGGTGCTTCAGGGGAAAACGTGTTTCTTTTGATGCGACGAGAGGGGGGATTCTGGCGCTTGGGGGCAGCGGCCGGTGCCACCCACCAGCTGTGGTCCCCTGCGCCCGCCCTGCCCTAACCTCTTGCCTTCTCTCTTGCAGTCGGAGCCCGAGGGCTTCTCTCACTTCCACCTGTACGTGTGCGCTGCGTTCCTCGTGAGGTGGAGGAAGGAGATACTGGAAGAAAGAGATTTCCAAGTAAGTCAGCCTTTCACAGCCTCACGTCGGACTCCGTGGGGTGCGTTCCCTCTGGAGCGGAGGCTGGGGGGCTGAGCCGCGGCGCCTGCTGCCTGGAGCTCTCAGGGGCGGCCGCAGGCCCGGCCCGCCCGGCAGCTGGTGGGTGTGGCTGTTTCTCTGGCTCCCAGGGAAGCCTCCCGGGCAGTGAGGCAGCTGGGTTGACCTGGGAGGGACGGGGCCAGGCCTGGGGCCGGGCCTCTGGGCAGCTGTGTGACTCGGGCACCTGGCTCAGCCCCTCTGACCCGCTTCCTCCCCCACGTGGTGGGAGAGCCACGTTCACACCCATCATCAGAGGTTCTGAGCCCTGTGTGTGGCGGCCCGATGCGTGCAGTTTGGCCCCTGCTCCCCAGGTGCCCATGGGCCATCCTCTCGCCCGGTGCCTGGGCGGGCGGGGCTGCCTGCAGGGCGGTGACCGTGGGGGCCGGCTCAGGCTCCGCACCTCCTCGAGCCCCTTGTCGTCCCGTGGCAACCAGGCTGGGCGCTGGGCCCTGGGTCATGGTGCGGAGGCCGGGCAGCTCCTGGGCGTTGTGGTGCCTCGCTCCCCGTGCGCTCGCTGAGGCGGGGGAGCCCCGAGGCTGAGCGAGCCCGAGGCCAGGGGAGCAGCGCGTTCCCACACCTTTAGGGGCAGCAGGTTGGCGGTCTGGCTGAGACGCCGCCCTGCTGTCCCTGGGGGAGACGGGCAGCTGGCTGAGGCGTTCTGCTGGCCTCCTCGGCCTGCTCCCTCACCTGAGGGGACAGAGGCCGAGACAGGCCCAGCCCGGCACCCCAGCGGGAATTCCCAAGGCCATGAGGCCGTGCGGTGCCGGGCTGAGGAGCCCCAAGACCGCCTGTCCCCGAGACTCCAGACGGCGGCGCTCTGCTGTGGGGGGAGAGCGAGGGGGAGCCGGTGTGCGCTGGGGGACGGGAAGCAATGGGACAGAAATTAGGGGCAGGACCGCGTCCTGGGGCCCGGGAGCTGTCGCGATGTGACATTCAGGAAGGCGGCGTGACGAGGCTCCGCGGGAACACGTCTTCGTCGTCGGGGAAGCTGTGACAGCAGGCTTTGCAGAGGTGTCATTTGCCCGCGGGAACTAGCGCTTTCCTAGTCATTTCCATGGGAACAGACGCCTCTGGGAGGAAGTCTTCCCAGAGAAAGGCGGCCTCGGTGGTCACGCGCCAGCTGCAGGTGCGGGCGGTGGGCGGGCAGCAGGGAGGGGCTCTGTCCTGCCGTGTTTCTGAGACGCGCTCAGGCCCGTGTCTGCTGCTCCGTGGGGCCTGCTGTGCCCTCTGGGCAGGGGGTGTGTGGATGGGCATCTGCTCGTGGCCTGAGCGTGGGGCCGAGAACCCCTGAGCCCTTGCTGACCTCGGCCAGGGCTGGCCCACCCTCTGCAGACGGCCCCGTGCCAGGCTCCGTCCTGACCTTCACCTTGTGGGCACTGCACCCGGGGCCTCCTGTCCCCGCCCTCGGCTATTGAGGTCCGAGTCTCAGCGCCCACAGCCTGGATGCGGCCCTCCGTCTGCCTTTTCTAACCAGGTTTGGGGGTGGCAGGAGCTCCCCTATGTGCAGTCTGTGTCCCCTCTCAGTGGGCCAGGCCCGCCCGCCTCGCCCAGTTTCTGGCCTCTTCCCAGAGGGGTCCCCTGAGGCGGAGTGTTGGAGGGCGGAGAGGCTGCTGTCCTGTCCACCGATCTCTTGATCCCTTGCTCATTC